AACTCCCCCTTGATGGTGTCCCAACAGAGCTGGAAGAAGGCCAAGGAGAAACCATCAGGGCCGGGGCCTTATCACTAGCACAACTCGACACAGCTTCGTACACCTCCTCCTCCTCAAAAGCCCTTTCTAGCCACTCACTGTCTCCCTCCCCTATGTGGTTGAACTTTATTCCCCCCAAAGTCGGCCTCCAACTAACTTTCTCTTTGTATAAGTTCTCATAAAACCTCACTATCGCCCCTTTTACCTCCTCCTCTCCCTCAATCCTCACCCCATCTACAGCTAAGGACTCTATGAAGTTTCTTCTTCGATTTGCAACCGCCATCCTGTGGAAAAATTTGGCATTCGAATCCCCTTCCTTCNAAAAATTTGGTATTCGAATCCCCTTCCTTTAACCATAGCGCCCTCGATTTTTGCCACCAACTGGTCTCCTGAGCTATTGCTAACTCGACTATATCCCTCTTAACCTCCCCCAATCTCTCTTTCTCAGATTCATCTAACTCCCTCGCCCCTTCCCCTCTCTCTAGATCCCCTAATTCATGCATAAGCTCCCTCATTTTAACATCTACCCTCCCAAAAACCTCCTTATTCCGCCTAATAATATCTCCCTTGAGCAATTTAAGTTTCTTCGAAAGACGAAATGAAGGTGTCCCTGATACCCCTTAGTTTGTCCACCATTCTTTCACCTTGTCACCAAATCTTGGCACCTTCAACCACATGTTCTCGAATCGGAAGGGAGCATGCACCCCCCTCCCTCTGCATCCATCTAGCAAGATAGGCAAATGATCCGAAGTCAGCCTAGGTAAAGGAATCTGCTTCGGCACCAGCTCATCCCAAGAAGGCGATATTAAAAATCTATCAAGTCTAGACCTTGAGTTGGAATCCTCCGCTCTGGCCCAAGTAAACCTTTCCCCTGACAGAGGAAGATCAATGAGAAAGTGATCATTGATGAAGTCAGAAAACTCCTCTATGGCCCTCGAAATCATACTACACCCTAATCTCTCCTCCAAAAATTAATAGTGTTAAAGTCTCCCTCCAGAACCCATGGAATATCCCATTCCCCCATCATATTGATCAATTCCTCCCAGAAAAACACCTTGGACCCTTCTCCTACCGGTCCGTACACTCCCTCAAATCCCCACTCTACCCCACTCACTCTATCTTTGACAAGAGCTGCTAAAGAAAAAACTCCCTTCTTAATCTCCTTTACCTCCACGCTTCTACCTGGCACTTCCCACTGCTGGAACCCAGTCATATTTTACCCAACTACCTCCCCAGACACTCCTCAC